AAGCAGAATGCTCAGAGGATGGATAAGTTGCAGTAGCAGAAATGACAAAATTGAAACATCCCATCAACTGCAAAGCCCTTACTAAACCACCAAAGGATCAGAAGCTGACACCTTTCACAGGAGGGTTTGTTCTGAGCAAACCAACACAGAACAAGGTTTATTCTTTTGATCTAACCAAGGTGGATGCTTTATTTGATGAAATGTTGTTGCAAAAGGCAATAGAGACACCCCACAGGATGCCCAAGCCAGAAGAGCTCAAGGGCAGGCAGTATTGCAGGTGGCACAACTCTTGGAACTATTCTACCAATAGTTGTGTTATTTTCAGAGATGTTATACAGGAAGGAATAACAATAGGAAGGTTGAAACTTGCGGAGAAATCTCCTTCAGTCACAACAGATCCTTTTCCCCAACCACAAGTCAACATGGTCAACTTAAATTGGCCAGAACAGAAGAGAAGCAGGCCAACGACAGAAGCCAGTTCCATCAGAGGCAGAATGGTTTTAAGGGAAACTATTGAAAGGCCAAAAGCAACTATCTCAGCTGGAGTAGTGCTCTGCAACAAGTGCAAATGTGAAGTTGAGCTAGAAGTGGTCCTGGACAGGCAGAGTCAGCCCATTCCGAGTGTTTTTGACAGGATTGGAACCTCATCCCGAGATAGAGCCAGGCAGAAGAAGTATCCCAAACCAGCCCAGCATAGCAGGAGGATGACAGAGCAGCCCAAGAAGGAAATATCAATCAAGATGCCCGGGAATGAGAAACCTCTGGCTGCTATCATAGAAGGAAAGTGGTATGTTGTCGGGAAAAGTGGCAAACCAACTATGGAATTAACTAGAACCCATAAGAGGAGGGTTCAAAGGCAATACTGCATATTCCTCAAGAACAAAAGTGATGCACAGGCACCTCCGGAGACTACTTCTGACAGAAAAGGGAAAGATCCGGAAATACCTTCCAAGGCAGAACAAGTAATCCATCCACAGAAAATGTTGAAAGCTGGATCTCCAGTTAAGCCTTCTATCCATCTTGCTTCATCCTCAGACAATCAATTTAAACCTTCACAGATACAAGGAGAATCTGAACTTATTCCAGTAGAAGGGCAAGAAGACTGGACTGAGGAAAATGAAGAGGAGCAGCTAGATTATGAGCCATTTGCTGATGACCAGAATGCACTTCCTGAAACAGGAGAACAGGAAGACTCGACAGAAGCATTCGGGGAGATGGAATACGATGGGGAAATAGATGCATAAACTGAAGCTTTTGGTGTAGAATTGGAAAACCTGTTGTAGGGTGATTTGGGCATCAACATGGTGTTCATTCTGCCAGAAAAGTTCAGAGCTACAGAATGATAAGAAAGCACTCTGGAGGGAGATATTTTCTCCCAGGAAAGTTTTGAATACAGGTTAGCAAAAGCAGAGGAGGTACCAAAACAGCGAGCAGGCAGTCCCAGGACAGGCGGAACTACCAACAAACTAACTACAGAACAGCTTTGTTTTTCTAAACCAACCAAGGAGATGGCCAATCATCTCAGACCTTTGTTTATAACAGCAAATTTTGGAGGTGTTCCTATTCCCAAAGTCATGGTAGATGGAGGTGCAGCCATTAATCTTCTGCCTCACAGAATGCTGAGCAAAATGGGCATAACAGAGAAGGACTTGATCCCAACACGCTTAACCATCACCAACTTTGCAGGGGGCATCACCAAAACTCATGGGATCCTAGATGTGGATGTCATAGTTGGAAGCAAAGAGCTGAAGATTGCATTCTTCGTGGTAGACACCACTTCCACCACCTATAATGCACTGCTTGGCAGGGACTGGATTCACCAGAGTTTGTGTGTTCCCTCCACTCTTCACCAACAATTAGCTCTGTGGAATGAAGAAGGTTACATGGAGATAGTAGAGGTCGATCCACAGCCATTTCTGCCTTCTGCCATGTGTTTTGAGGCAAGGTATTACCATGATGACCTTGGTCCTTTCACTTTCCTTAGAGTCAACCAGAACGGTCGCCCCCATGGTGTCACGGCCCAGAGGCTCATTGAAGATGGTCTAGCTAGTTCCTTAGAAGACTGGAATAGACCTTTTGTTCTAAACCTCCAAAACTCTGATGTTTAGTTCCTATCAATAAGAAAAGGATCGAGCTGCAACAATCCGATCCATTACAAAAAGATTGTTGATATATTGGGAGGAAAGGAAGCTCTTCATGCAGGATCCAGCCATCAATATGGTAGAATTCACTCATGAGAGCACGGAAGACCAGGAGGAAGAAGAGTTATAGAAGGAAGTGTTAGATTTTGCGCCAGTAGCACTGGATGACTCTCTGCCAGAAGTGGAAGATCCTTTACAGGAAATAAACTTAGGGACAGAAGAGGATCCAAGGCCTACTTGTATTAGAGCACTATTGAAAGAACCGCTCAAGAGTGAGCTCATTGCACTGTTACAGGATTTCAGAGATTGTTTTGCTTGGCATTATCATGAAATGCCAGGTCTAGACAGGGAATTAGTATAGCAAAAGCTGCCAATCAAAGAGGGATACCTTCCAGTCAAACAGGCCAGAAGAAGAATGTCCATGGACACAGAACTGAAGGTCAAAGAAGAAATAGAAAGGTTGCTCAAAGCAGGATTCATCAGACCAGCCATCTATGCTAATTGGCTAGCTAATATTGTACCAATTCTGAAAAGAAAAACTGGGGTAGTCAGAATCTGTGTGGATTACAGAAATCTAAATGAAGCTTCTCCCAAGGATGAGTACCCTATGCCAATGGCAGACATGCTAGTAGATGGAGCTGCTCACAACCAGATGCTGTCTTTTACGGATGGCAATGCAGGTTACAATCAAATCATGGTGGTAGAAGGAGACATCCACAAGATAGCCTTCATGTGTCCAGGACATATAGGTGCTTTTGAGTACACTATAATGCCTTCTGGCTTAAGAAATGCAGGGGCTACTTATCAAAGGGCAATGAATTCTGTCTTCCATGATATGATAGGGCATTCTTTGGAAGTTTATATTGATGATGTGGTGATTAAATCCCCAGAAGAGGGAAACCACATACCGAATCTAAGGAGGGCATTCCTAAGAATGAGGCAGCACAAACTAAAGATGAACCCAAAGAAATGTGTTTTTGGAGTGCAAGCAGAAAATTTCCTAGGATTCTTGGTCCACCAGAGAGGCATATAAATCGACAAGAACAAAGCAAAGTCCATCATAGAAGCTCTACCACCTAGAAACAAGAAAGAATTGCAGAGTTTCTTAGGAAAAATTAATTTTCTAAGGAGATTCATATCCAATTCTGCAGGGAAGATCCAGCATTTCTCCTTTTTGTTAAGATTGAAACAGGAACAGACCTTCAAGTGGGAAGAACAGCACCAACAAGCTTTCCAGGAAATCAAGCATTACCTCTCAAACCCACCGGTTCTGTCCCCACCAAAGAGAGGCAGACCACTCAAGCTCTATGTATCTGCATCAGAAGTATCCATTGGGAGTCTGTTAGTTCAAGATAACAAGGAAGGAAAGGAACATGCAGTCTACTACCTGAGCAAAACTCTGACAGAGGTGGAAAGAAAATATTCTGCAATTGAAAGACTTTGCCTAGCCTTGTACTTCACTACTGTGAAACTCAGACACTACATGCTGCCATATGCCATCTACATCATTGCCAAGACAGATCTGATCAAGTACATGCTAACAAGACCAATGCCGAGAGGCAGAATTGGAAAATGGACCTTGGCCTTGACAGAATTTGCCTTCGGATATGTTCCTCAGAAAGCTGTCAAAGGACAAGCTGTGGCAGACTTCCTAGTAGATCATCCTGGGGAGGAAATTGAGAACATGGACTCTTTGGACATAGCAAATGCAGATCTATTGACCAGAGCTCACACCTGCCTCAATAATCCTATCTGTTCAGTTCATCTCACACCTTAGAAGCTATACTTTGATGGATCAAAAAATGATATAGCTTCTGGGGCAGGAATTGTTTTGGAAGAACCGCTTGGAATCAGACACTGTTACTCTTTCCAATTGGATTTCTAGTGCACCAACAACAGGGCAGAATATGAGGCCTTAATCATT